AAAGGACATCACTACTTGGCTCTGCCATGGCTGGGTGCCCCTAGACCTTTAAAATTTAAAAGTGGGTAAGCCATCTTACAGAAGCTTCTTAAGGACAGAATTCTCTAATGGAGGCAAATACAATCAAGGTACATTATATGCATGTATGAACATGTCATAATGAAACCCATTGTTATGCATAATGAAACCCTATGTATGCTAATAGGGGCTAAGGAGAGGATATAGTCAGTAAAGAGGTTGCCATGTGACCTGCATTCCATCCCCAATAGTTGTGTAAAAACCCTGGGCATAAATGATGTAAATTTGGGGAGGCAGTCAGGTAAGCCTTGGGGCTCAGGGTCTAGTCATCAGAGCCTAATTTGCAAGCTCCATATCCCACGAGAGACCAAGTCTCAAGACAAAGCAAAATAAAGCAAAGGTAGACAGCTCCTGGGGAGCACCACAAGACTCCACACACACACTCACCTGTACACACCAGTACACACAAGCACACACACACACTCACCTGTACACACCAGTACACACAAGCACACACACACTCACCTGTACACATAAGCACACACACACTCACCTGTACACACCAGTACACACAAACATACACACACACTCACCTGTACACACCAGTACACACAAACATACACACACACTCACCTGTACACACCAGTACACACACACTCACCTGTACACACCAGTACACACAAGCACACACACTCACCTGTACACACCAGTACACACAAGCACACACACACTCACCTGTACACACCAGTACACACAAGCACACACACACTCACCTGTACACACCAGTACACACAAGCACACACACACTCACCTGTACACACCAGTACACACAAACACACACACACTCACCTGTACACACCAGTACACACAAGCACACACACACACTCACCTGTACACACCAGTACACACAAACACACACACACTCACCTGTACACACCAGTACACACAAGCACACACACACACTCACCTGTACACATACGCACACACACACACTCACCTGTACATACCTGTACACATAAGCACACATAGACACTCACCTGTATACACTTGTACACATAAACACACACACGCACACACACACACACACACACGACACACACCACTAAATAATAAATTGAAGGAAAACTCCAGAATTAAGATTGAAAAACATCTTGGGGCTGGAGAGATGCTCAGCAGCTAAGAGCACAGGTTGCTCTTCTAGAGGACCCAGGTTCGATTTCCAGCACCCCTGTGGCTGCTCACAATCAGCTAAAACTCCCTTTCCAGGAGATCCAACTTCTGGCCTCTGTAGGTACTGCATGCATTTGGCACACACACACTCGGGCAAAAACCCTATATACATAAACATGTAAATAAAAATGAAAAACTTTAGAAGACATAGGACTCTGAACACCCTCAGATGATCCCCCAAGCTTTCCCTGAACGCTGGACCTCAGTCCCTCCTATATAACCCCTGAGGAAAGTGCCAGCTATATATATGAATGTGTTAGCAAACTTTCAAACTCTAACAACTGAATACAGGGACTCACTCACAGGCTGGCACACAGCTGTCTGTTGACATGTTGCTTTAGTTAAATCTTTCCCTAGGTGGTATCTTGTTTCCTTTTGTTTTAATATTTTATTTATGTGGCTTGTGCATGCCTGATAGGGACTCTACCACAGAACCACACTCCCAGCCCCTCACTGGGAGATTCTAAGCACATGGTCTACTCCTGAACCACAACCCTAGCCCCAGCTTCTGTTTTCCTCCAGTGACTACCATGATGCTGGGGTTGGGTTAGAAGGAAGCAGGCCAGTAGGAGCCAGTGGAAGAGGGAGTCGAGCATACCTCCAGGGTGAAGGCCAGCCAGTTTCAGATCATTTGGCCATTCTCTTGGTTACTTCTCCAGTTGTAATGAGATCACAGTGGGGTGCAGGGCCGCTTCTCAGTCTAGTGGCTCTTCCCAGCCTCTCCTTCCATGAGTCCATCTTCCCAGCATGGCCAGAAGTGTTGATGACTTGTTCTTCCGTTTGTATGTGCTCATTTACCCATGAGATGGTGAATGTTTGGTGGGAAATGTTGATCACAGTAGCTCCAAATGCATCCACTGTAGAACTCCAAATAACATGGGCTTGAATAAAAAGTGGGCTTTGTTCTCAAACAAGCCTAGAGGCAGGCAGTGGAGGACCCAGTTCCAGGTACCCACAATCACAGCTCCTTTAGTCTGGGTATCATTCATAGCCATCACCCAGGGCTCCAAAATGGTTGCTTCCCTCCAGGCAGGAGGAGGAAACAAAGGAAGACTGAGAAGAGGCGTACCCATGTGCTGTCCTCCACCTGGAGGTGCGGGACCCTGGCTCTTCATCCGGACAGACCTGCCTGCCTGTTAGGTCTGGATTCACAGACCTTCTCAGTATAACCTAGTATGGAGAACGGTTGTATATTTAGGTCTGTCCAGATTGGAATCCCCCCGGGGGCAGGTCCCTCCATTTCAGGGCCACAGCTGCAGTGCCAGGGCACTGCTGACACATTCCCATGTGGGATACTGTTCTGAGCCCCGGATCTTTGGTGTTCAGGTTTGGGTGGGTGGTTTTTCTTGGTTGCAGCCGCAAGCAGAGCTTCTGAGAAAGTCTGGACTTACAGGTAGGAAAATGATGCTTTGTGCTTCGTGTCCATTACTCTAATGGTGACCCATTTTGCTAGCTACACGCTGGGCCGCCTTGAAGATGACAAGTTGACAATGACTCCATTGGGTCATTGCTGAGTGAAGAGCCCATTAGCATAGGGCCTTGGGTTCCAGCACAGCATGTACCAGGAAGCAGGGTGCTGTTATCCTGTAGCCTGTCCTCATTTGTAGGAGCGAGTTTGTCAGCGATATGACAAGTCGCATCCCTGTCCTGCTCCCACCTTTCAGTGTTCCCCAGTAGGTGCCAGGCATTCCAGGAGTTGGACAGAAACCCCATTACCCAACCAAAATGAGGAGCAGTGATAGCAGGGGCCACCCCAAGTGGTGGAAACATCCTGGAGGGGAGTGACGTTGAAGGGTGAGCTTTGAGTCTGGCCCAAGTCTTCCACATAGCTTCCTTCCTTTTCTCCATTTTTCAAAAAGCCGGGGCCTCATTTATTCCAAGCTGGCTTCGAGCTCACTCTATAGTGGAGAACAACCTTGAAACTCCTGCCTCTCTTTCAGCCTTCCCTATGCTGAGGGTACAAGTGCATACCACAGCACCCAGCTTGCTGTAACCTCCTTAAATGAACTCCTAACACTCAAGTATTTGATTAGGGCCGTGTCTGGTTGCCCTGTGAGACATGTAGAAGAAATGGCCACTGGGTAGTCTTGGCTCCTGTTGGTTTTTGTTTTGCTTTGCTTTTAACTTTTTGAGATGGGATCCAGCCACATTGCTCAGGCTTGTCTTGATCTTTTAGGCTCAAGACACCGTCCTGTCTTAGCTGAGACAACTTAGCCGCAGGCTGTTGCCACTGTGTCTCATTGGTTATGGGGCAGACACCAACTTGGTCTGTTTTCCCTTTTATCCCAGCTGCTTCGGATCAGAGGACACACTGGGGCTCTGCCTTCTGGTCAAATGGCAGAGATCTCAGTCAGTGGACAAGGTGAGAGGCACTTCCCTCTCCCTTGGTTGAGCCTCCAACAGGACTTGATGTTCAGACCCTAGCCTGCCTGAGGCTGGATTTCCCTGGAGTCCTTGGGAGATGTGGGCAGAGGATGTTGTTCACCTATTGGTTTTGAACATTTGCAAAGCAAGGGATAGTTGAAGACAAAGTATCGTCTTTTAAAAAGTGAGCCAGCAAGACGGCTTAGTGGGCAAAGTACAAGCCTGAGATCCAGAACCACGGAAATATGAGAGAGCACTGGCTTTCAGAGTTGTCCCTTGACTCCCGCATGTTCCATGGCACACAAACCCAGGTGTGATGATCCAGAGTGTTCTAGTACTCTATGGCCTTCCTGTCCATGTGGGTCAGTGGATCCCTCCAGGAGAGCCGGAGTCTGCACAGCATGGAACAAACACCATTTGCCTATATTCTGCTCAGCCCAGGGTCCCAGGTGAGTCTTTAGGGAGTGGGGAGCTCTTCTGTACAGGTCAGGCCAGTGTTCATCACACCCAGGTTATCCCGAGTGGCCCTATTTGATGTGAACACTGCTGGTTGGTCCTGCAAAGGGTGCTGTTAAGTGGAGGTTGGAACCCTCCTCTCTTGACTTACAGGGCTTCTCGGGACCTGGCTGGCAATGCTAATGCAGTCTACTTCTGAGCTAGGTGACCTCAAGGGCTGTGCCGCTCATCACAGGAGGACTGCACCTGCTTGAAATATCTCACACCTTGGGAGTCCGGAGTTGCTACCCCTGTGCCTGAACTGAGGTGTGATTGCGGGGTGTGTGGTCATGCCCGTGTGCTTCCCTGAATAGGCGACTAAACTCCAGGGGTGAGGACTGCTCTGCCCCGCTGCCTGCCTCTTGTCAAGAATCTGACCTGGGGCTCCGCTCTGGGCTCTCTGAGACTCAACTACAACTACAACAGAGCCCACTCGGGGTGCTCAGGATAGGGGGCTCCAAGGAGCATGTTGGTTGCGGGAGTGAGGGTGAACAGAATCCAGCCACCCCTCCACTCTGCCCGCATCCCTGAATGGCTGCCCCCAAAACAGGGGTGAGGTTGCGGGGCCCAGGCTAGGGAAGCTGCAGGTGGAGAGGAGGACCTGGGAACTTGGTTTCTCAGGAGGTGCCCCCCGACTGTGACTGGCCTCGCTTGGGATGTGTAGTAGTTCTTCCAGCCCCAGCCCTGGGAAGGAGAGTAAGACTCCTCGCTCACCTCAGGATGGGGTGTAAGAGTCACTCTTGTTTGAGCAGCGGGGTGGAACATTGTGGGAGGAGCGCTGTGATGCAGGCATGGCCCGGGGGACGGTCTGGGACTGGGGGTGGTCCTCTCCTGCTCCCAGGAGCGGTTCCGGTCACTGCAGCCCTTGGGACTGGCGGGAGGCGGCGCTGAGCGGGTGACGCGGCAGCTCCCGCGGGGCATAAATAGCGGCGGCAGCGCTGCTCCTGCTGCAGACACGTCGAGGGATCCTGCTTCCTCACGCTGCGGCGCTGTGCCATGCAGTGAGCTACTCGGCCCAGGCACACCACGCCCGGACAGACACCCCGACCTGCGCTTACCAGCCACGCCCGGTTCCTACCGCTACTCAAGGTACCTGCGCCCCCATTGAGGTGCGCCAGGCCCTAGTCCTCGGGTGGCTGCCTGCCCTGTCCCTGTCCCTCTCACAGCTCGGTTCCCATTATCCCGCCCCTCCCACTTCGACGACATTTCTGTCCGCAGTCCGAGTGGCCCCCAGACATGAGCCTGTGCAAGGCCGCTTAGATGGTGTCAACTTCTCTCCTTCCAGATGGCTAAAGGCAGCGCCCTCCTGCTAGCCTGGCTCCTGTTGGCTGCGACCCTGTCATCTACTCTGGGACTTGGGGTGCCAGTAAGTGCTGAGGACAGACGGTCACTAAAGAGGACTAAGGGGGTCAGCCTGGAGCAAAGAAGGATGGTTCATTCTCCCCACAGCAGGGGTGGGTGTGGGGTGGTGCCCCCCCTGCAGCTGCTGGAGGGTGGGGAAGGTCCCAGGAGAAGGGCTGAGGACCAGCTGGGCACTGTCAGGCTCAAAATGGCTCTATTCGTAGCCACGTGTAGGGGTCCAGGTTTGTAATCCCAGCACTCAGGAGGCAGGTGGAGGCAGGAGGATCAAAAGTTCAAAGCTGGCTGGGCGGTGGTGGCGCACGCCTTTAATCCCAGCACTCGGGAGGCAGAGGCAGGCGGATCTCTGTGAGTTCGAGGCCGGGCTGGACCGATAGCCTCCAGAACAATACAGAGAAACCCTGTCTCGTAAAAACCAAAAAAAAAAAAAAAGTTCAAAGCTGGGTCTCCCCTACATAGCAATATTAGGCCAGCCTGGGCTATATGCAGGCTGTATCAACAAAACAACTCCTATTTGTTGGCCAGCGCCTGTGGTAAATAGACTAACTCCTCCAGAGAATGTGGGTGCTGGAGGCACAACCCTCAGTCCTGAGGCTGCTCAGGAGTAAGACTGCCACCTGGCTCTGAAGAGACTACTAGGAGTTACCAGCTGATTCCTGCTCTGGTTTCAACATTAGTGGACCCAGAATTCATGCATGCAGGTCAAATGCTGTCACTCAGGGCAGCCTGGGTGCCTAGGCTTCTGCTCTGGGCTGGACTGGGAATTGTGGTACAGGCTATTTTGTTCCTCAGCACAGGGACCTAGGCTGTCTGACCCATGTCACCCTATTTTAGGTGAAGGAGAAGAGAGGCTGGACCCTGAACAGCGCTGGCTACCTTCTGGGCCCACGTGAGTGATGTAGGGCTGGGTGGCTTCATTGTGGGTCCTGATGTGACTACGGGAGCCAGCCACTGTTCTCATAGGCACTTTACTCTCAGATGAAAAGCAGGGGGCTGTGGGGACTGTGGGTTTCCATTAGCCAAGACACTGCAACTTAAAACACCTGCTGTGTCGGAGGTGGGGAGGCAATCTCCCATTCTCTCAAATGCCTTACCCCTCTGTCCTCCGCTCTCACTCTTAGCCGATGAGTTCATTCCTGGGGTCTCCTGATACCATCCAGAAAGCCTCCTGGCAACCCTAGTGCCTAGCTTCCTCGCTTTAGCTTGCCTCTGAGCCTGCTCTGGTCTGAACCTTCTTTTCCACTTCTCAAAGCTGCCCTGCCCCACTCAGCACCTGACACCTCCTGGGCAAACCAGAGACTGCCCATTACTGCTCTGTACATTTAACCTCAGCACTTGTTCCTTCTAGAAGTTTCTTCTACTGATTTGGGCTTCTGGGGAGTCTTCCAGGACTCCTTGGAGTTCTGATTGGGTCTACTCTCTGAGTCCCTGGGTCTCACTAACATCCTCTTCTACTTCCTGGCATCCTGAAACTGCCCTCTGAGCTCTAGAAAGGAACTCTGACAAACTAAGGTAGCCAGATGTCTCATCTTGAGACTCGCCTGCGCTGGTTTCTTTCTTGATCAAATATGTTCCCCCAGTTCCAGCCCCACTGTCACCCCAGCACCTTACACTAACACTAGTCTTGTCCCTTCAGCACAGGGCCCACTCAATGTCACTAGTACTTTCTCTGCATTCATGGCTCGGGAGGGTTAGAATCTAAGGCCTTTGCATAGAGTGGGGCGGGGCAAATCACCCAAGTGGTGTTGATGACACACCCATCACATCTCAGTGCTGTCATCCTGTGGGGGATGGAGACCAATGCTTGGCCTTCTGTCTTTGAGTTTGATGTTTCTGTGTAGTGTGAATGTTTTGTTACCTGTGACCACCAGAGATAGAGACTTTGCTTGGGGCTGTGGAGTCACCAAGGGGCAAAAACAGCTCTGCAGAGACGGACAGCCACAGAGGGGAAAGGTGCTTGCAGACAGAGGTGTTTGGTGCTGTCCCACTTTCCCTGGTCTGTCCTGTATATCTGTGACTTGTATTAATGCCTTCAGAGGTGAACTATCCCAAGGAGGACTGGAAGACACCGGCTCTCTCCTGAGAGCTGCCTAGTTAGTTGCTTAGCTGTTGTGGCTTTCAAATTTACATGCACATCTGGGTCTGAGATGCCTGTCCATTTTAAGTACCCATTCACTGTGCCCTGATACATGGGTAGAGACAAAACATCCATCCATCCACCTCCCTATCCTCAGTCCACCAGAGGGGAGGGACAGTGGAGTGGGGCTGGTGCCTCTCAGCCTGAGTCTGATGTTCACAAGAAACAAGGCATAGGGTTGACAAAATCTGCCTGGGGCCCTGTGCAGGGTCTACATAGTCACCTGTGATCACCACCCTCATCCAGGAACCCTGGAGACATTGTTTCTCTCTCTGCGGTGTCCACGTATTGGTGGTCCGGCTGCCTGTGGTCTTCCCCTGGGGGTGGACATAGGATAAGCCACAGTGACAGCAGGCCCTCCCTCTCTGGTCTGCACACAGATGCCATTGACAACCACAGATCTTTCAGTGACAAGCATGGCCTCACAGGCAAGCGGGAGCTACAGCTGGAAACAGAAGAAGGAAGACCAGGTAAAGCGGGAGTCCCAGAATGTACAGCCCAATAGTATTCCTGGGCCCCCCAGGTGCTTGTGGGGTATGACACCTACCACTGTCCTGCCTCCAGTCACAGCCTGAGGCTGTGCTGGCCAGGCAGGACCTGGGAGCCCGTGGCCTCACACACCTCTCAACTAGCAGGACTGGGGAGCAAAATCATGGTGCATGCAGCTACAACTAAGGAGCTGGCCACGGAAAAGCTGGCTCAGAGCCCCTCTACTTCCCTAGAGAGACCCTGGATGGCCTACGATGCCCCAGGCTCTCAGCCCGCCTCCCTGGTCTCTGATGGGTAATAAGAGGATGGTGAGGAAATAGGCCACAACACTGTTCTTTTCCATTGTCTAGGAAGTGTTGATGGACCCCTGCCTGAGAGCAACATTGTGCGCACCATAATGGAGTTTTTGAGTTTCCTGCACCTTAAAGGTATAGTATTTTCCATCCAAAATGGCATCTTGGGCTACAGGAAAAAGAGTGAAAATGGGTTTCATGGAATGTCACAGGGAAACACCCATCACCCTACTCTGCCCTATGTTAGAACTGAGGCATATCACACTCAAACGTCCTGTGCTGGGGCTGGCAGTCCCAACAGGCTGATGTCACTACTGAGAAGGGAGTGGAGCTTTGGGGGCAGGTCACTCTCCTGCCCCTAGTTTTGGCATAGTGCTTTTTTAGGACATGGTATGCCTCAAGCCAGGTTCTGCAAGGCCATGAGAAGCCAGTGCCTGGCATGTTGGCTCTGGAAGCTATTTCCTCACTCAGCTTTCTGTCATTCCACTGCCCTTCCAAGAGGAGCTGAAGGGCCCGAGATTCAAACCTATAGGGAAGCAGTGGGGGGGGGGGTGGAGGTTGATAAGTATTGAATCCCCAATTATTGTGTTCATCCGACAGTGTAATAAGCCAAATCAAACCAAATTAATAAATCCAGATTTGATAAGCAGAGCAGAGCACTCCCAGGTGACTCTCAGGGAGGCAGGAGGGAGAGCACATGGCAGATCTATGGACCGATCTTAAGTAGCCTGTAGGCGGCCTTGAGGAGTTCCAGGGGAGGAGCTGCCCGTGGTGAGCTTTCTTGGGGGCAGGGTCTGGAATGGGAGGAGTGGGGCTGGGTGGAGCTTCCCAACAGGTGTAACAGCTGGAGACATGCCCCAGTTCTTGAGAGCATTTGCTGCTTTTCCGAAGGGCCCCAGTTCAGTTCAAGTCATGTCAAGTGGCTCACAACCATCCATAACTCCAGTTTCAGAAGACCTGGCACTCTCTTCTGGTACACATATACACATACACATACACATACACATACACATACACATACACATACACATACACATACAAAGTATTTAAAAAAGCAAAACCAACCAACCAGGCAGGGGAGTGTGGGAGAGCTGATAGTATTAAAAGCCCCAACCCCAGGTTCCCAGGCCTCTAGGGAGTTTCTAGGGCTTTCTGCAGATCTCTGGGTGACTACTGCTGCTGAGGGTGCCTTGGCTTTGCCAGGGGCTTCTGTGTTTCCATATGGTTTTGATCTTGTAACAGGGAAAGTATTCTTAGACACTAACTTCATGACTACAATAGTCTACACTCTTTCAAGAGTGGGCAGTCCTCCAGAGGTTAGACACACAGATGCTGTCCCCAATTCAAGGTCCCCACAGTGAGACCTTACCTCTCTCTCTATGGGTACGGTCATGTGATTCTCTCTCAAGCTAACTCCCTGACTGCTATTCTTCCTTCTTCAGAGGCCGGGGCCCTCGACAGCCTGCCTGGCCTCCCTTTGGCCACCTCCTCAGAAGACCTAGAGCAGTCCTGAGACCACACCCACCCAGCTTCTGCCCTATGTTGTAACTTAAAGTCACTCTAGGCAGAATCTTCTGCCAGCTCCTCAAGCAAACCCTCTGTTTTCTGCTTTGATGCTGTGTTGTTATAATTAAGATGTTTTGATTGGAGTAATTAAATTGTGTGACACAATAAAGACTAGCAAGTATCTGGGACTGGTTCTTCTATGCTGCAGCCCATCACCTCCAGTGTGGTTATTTATTTATATGTGTGCGCATGCACACATGCACCTTGGGTATTGAACTCAGATCATCAGGCCTGACAGGAGGTGCCTTTACCTGCTGAGTCATCTCTTTGGCTCCCCACCCGTGTGTTTTAAAAGGTAATGGTAGACATCCACCCATGCTTTAGGTGAGATTTAAATCCAAATTAAACTCATGGACTGCAGAGCGTCAGCTCTTGCTGTGCCCAGATCAGTTATCTCTCTGCTCAGATCAGTCTGATGTGGCTGTCTAGCATGCTACTGGCACAAAGAAAGGCTCAGATGGGTGCAACCCTACCCGGGAGCCGTGGCTATGAAGACAGGAGGAGAACTGGCTCTAAGCAGAGAGCAGATGATACCAGAAGATCAGAAATGAACACAGGCGACAGGACAGCCAGGCACCCACGTACTAGACTGAGCTGAGCCTTACCTTCTGTGTCTCCCTGGCTATACGGCAGGCTGTCACCATTGGTCTCATGTGACTGTGTCCTCTACAGAACAGGGGAGATGAAAGGAGGCCACAGAGGATGACTCCAACCTCACTCTTTTTTTAAAACCCTAAGTGTGTGTATATGCGGGGACATGTACATGTGTGTGCTGATGCCCATGCAGGCCAGAGGCCCTGGAGCTGGAGCTACAAATTCACCAACAGGGGTGCTAGGAATCAAACTCGTGTTCTCTGGAAGAGAAGCCAAATGTTCTTAACCATTGAGCCATTCCCCCAGCTCCCCTCACCCCTTCCTCTTTCACACTTAACTTTGACTTGAGCAGCATCCAGACTCTGAGACTTAGAGAAGACAGACTGCTGGGCCCTGCCCAGTGTCAGGGGGTCTGCAGGTCATATTCTGCTCTAGAAGGATGACACCTGGGTTGCTGCAGTCAGCCCCCCAGCCTGAACCCTGCCCTGTGTGGCATCCTTCTAGCCTTGCTCCCTCCTGTGTCCCACCCCCAATTCTCCAGGCTAGTAGCTGCAGCTGTGCCTGCCTTGCCTCACCTCAGCCCTCCCAAACGCCCCTCCTAATGCCTGGCACATGGTCCAGGAGTCTGTCAGGACCACACTGTCATGTAGCATCCTTCCTTCTCTTCTGGCTTCAGTGCTGGGGGGTACCCTAATATAAAGGTTGTTGCTATACTTCTGGGGGAGCTGGTCAGCTCATCAAAATCTCCTGAGCCCTAGGGTCCTGCAAGCCCATTGGTACCAGGCCTCCAGGAGAGTGTTCCTGCAACCATTCCCATGGCAGCCCAGCCTCTGGGTCAGCAGTGCACAGCTGCCCCTCCCCAACACATGCACATCATCTTCAGACTTCTCTAGGTCTTTCCTTCATGGTGTGTTTGTGCGTGTACATCTGTGCAAAGGCACATGTGTATAGGCGTTAATCCACGAGTTGCCTTTTGAGCCAAGGTATCTTCTGCCTGTAATTTGCCAACTAGGCTAGGCTGGCTGACCAGTGAGCCCTAGTGAGCCTCCTGTCTCTGCTTCCCCCGGTACTGGGATTCCAAGTCTGTGTCTGGTTTTGTCTGTTTGTTTTTTTTTTTTTTTGTGGCTCCCGTGGGGGTGAGATGGGGTGGTGGGTGCTTGTGCAGCAAGCACTTCTCTGGCTGAGCCTTCTCCAGTCCTTTCCTTCTTGTCAGTGAACCCCTGGCTTCCCCAGCCAGCCTCCTGCCACTGTCCTGGCTGTGCTCAGGTTTTCTCCCACTCAAAGTGAGGAAGCACCAGTGCTGTTGTGAAACACAGACTCATGAAAAGAAGATTCCAGTGGAGTCCAGCGTGGCTATTGAGACAAATGTATTTTCAGCTACTAACCTAGGTCCTACTGGGGATCTGGGACGGTTCTCTCTCACAACAGAATGCAAAGCATGGGCACAATATCTCACCTGCTGGTGTCTGCAAGCTGGTCACTGCGACTTGTTTTTGCAGGCCACAGTGTAACAGTAATTATGGAAATGAGGGCTGGGCAGGAGACTGTTTTCTCAAGTCAAGCAAAAATTCAGAAGAAACCAGCTCCAACCTGACCTCTTCCTACTGTCACAGGCCTGTCCTGGAAGACCCCTGCTGGCCAGCTGACCTGTGTCTGGGGTACCAGCCCAGCCTTGTTCTCTGGAGACTTGAAGTTGTCTCATAACAACTTGAATGGGGAAACTACGAAACGATTTGAAAAGTAAACATATAACAATAAGCAGAAAGCCACCCTCTTCTCATACAAGGCAGGGACCCCAGAGACAGGAAAAGCAGTGTCCACTGCCCTCCCCATCCCCAGGGCAGCTCTGCCTGCCTGTACTTCAGAGTGCCTTGAGCAGGCTGGCCAATTCAACACAGAAGGATGGCTCAGACCTCATGCTGGTTGGCCTGGCCACACTACGGGGCCTCCTGCTCCTCCCCCTGGCACCACCTTCCTAGATGCAGACTCCCCAAGGCTGAGGCTTGCCACAGGCATTCCCCTTTACCAGCTTGCACTCTACTCAATTTTCAGCCCCTTGGACTTGAATTCGATGCGGAGAATCTGCGACAGGCATCTTCCAAACTCCTCCAGGACCATCTGCTCGGCTAAGCTTGGGGAGCAGCGCTCCTGCTCTGCCTCCTCGCCCTGGGCCAGCAGGCAGGCACATGTGGCCTCCACGACTTCCCAGGAGATACAGGAGAAGGTCTGCCTGAGGAGAGACACAGCAACTCAGTGCCTTCCCCATTCAGCAGGGTGGTTCCCAATCACTCTAGTTCAAGAATCAAAGGCCTCTACAGGGAACACCTACATCACCTCCCCTTCAAGGTCCAGGAAACACCTCAAAAGACACTGCATAGGACTGGGTCTTTCAATATCCTAGCATGGATGGGGGAGGGACTCATGAGTCTCCAACCCTCTCTGAGGAGTGATTGGCAGTTAATGGCTTCTGGGGGAAAGGGACATTTTCTTCAGGGATATAGCCACTGGTAAATAGTCCATGTCCCAGTAAATAACCACACCCCACACAGAGGTGAGAAGTCCTAATTAAACACAAAGAGTCTCACACACACACGCACACACACACACACACATACACACACACACACACACTTACACACCTGAGGAAGACTAGTTCTGAAGAAGAGGGTCAGCAGGGTAGGGGAAAAGAGAGCAAAAGAGAGACTATGATCACAACACATTCTACACATTCATGAAATTGCCAAAAAGCAATTTTTAAAAAGGAGCCATATTCCTTTCCGCTAATAAAAGGGGTTTGGTTTGTGCTGAGTCCACAGGCCCAGGCCTATGCCCCAGTTTGGGCTAGAGGGAGAGATGCTGTTTTAACACACCAGAAGACGGTGTGAGGGCTGGGCTTGGAAGAGCAGCACAGGGACCCTACATCACCTGGCAGAGTCTAAATGTCTCAGTGCTAAGGCCACTGACAAACCTGGAGGTTCATGTGATTCAGTGACAAAGTCACAAGGTCACACGGGTGTGTGTGTGCATGTGTGCACATGTGTGGTGTATTGTTCGTGTATATGGACATGTGTAACTGTATGCTTGATCACTCTTCTACTTTATATTTTGAGACGAATATATATTATAGAGTTGGGGAATCCCTTGTCTTTGCCTCCCACGCATTGGGATTACAGACACCTGCCATAGCCACCCAGACTCTCAGCTTGAATAGCAAGGCTTTGGCACTGGTTGGTCTCCTTAGAAGGTCTACTCTATTTTTAAGGATAGAGTCTCTCATTGGTTGACCTAGAGCTCACTGATTGGCTTGCCTGACTAGCCAATGAGCCCTGGGGACTCTGTCTCCACCTCCAATACTGGGATTACCAGCATAGGCCATCAAACCTGACTTTCTACATGGGAGCTAGGATTTGAACTCAGGTCCTCAGGATTGTATAGCAGGCACTTTACCTATTGAGTCACCTTTTCCAACCCCTGGGGAGAATATTTTCAAATAGGCAAATCAAGACTAATATATGACCAAATGATGTCTTAGCCTTTGGGAACTGCTAAAATTAGTGTGGCTTAAAAACTACCCAATGGGAAGACATCCAACCACAGTCCCTTCAGCTAAGAGTTCAGCACGTGTCCAAGACATATCTGTGCTGCTGTCCACAGTAAAGAAAGGTTAGGTGTGGGCTGGGCACAGCTCAGTGGGAAAGTGCTTGCCTAGAAAGAGGGAGGTCCTGGGTTCCATCCTTAGCCTGGAAAATGGGCAGGGAAGAGGAAAGAGAAGAGGAAGGGAAGGGAAGATGGAAGGGAAGGGTAGGTCTAAGCATTTATTGCCCGATCAAGCAAGACTCTGGCCTCAGAGACATCAGAACACCAGAAGCTCTAACAGGGTGGGCACAGTCTGTAAGTACAGACAGGGATATCCAGACAGGGAAAAGGGAAGGAAAGGTCAAATTAAGAAGCTGTGTGTGTGTGTGTGTGTGTGTGTGTGTGTGTGTGTGTGTGTTTGTGTGTGTGTGTCCAGCTCAGTGGGCTTCCATCTTCTTGTCCCTCCTGTCCTTGTACCCCTGCACATTCCAGCTAATGCAGATGTGGTTTCTAAGCCTCCCTCAGAATCACCCCAGTCTAATTGTTCAGAGCACCTACCTATTTTTTCTCAGTTTTGGAGGTCCTGAGAACTTGGCTGGGGACAGATGGTGACTGCCCTCAAAGTCCCCGGCCTCCATATAGTGGGGCGCGTTCATCAGCATTTTTCGCTCTGGGCTTTCCTCATAGTTTTTGCAAGCAATGCATTTGCAAATCGAAGAGCACATGATTTTGGCCTGATGACAGAAAATGCTTTGTTGAAATCGGGGTTCCCTCCCAAAGCCACCCAGCCTTTGTCCATCTACTTGATCAGATTAGTTCAGATTAATACTAGAAGCTGTTCACCAGGCAGGGAAGCAGACATGGCAGCATTAGTGCTCTAGAGGTGGAGGCAGGAGGATCATAAATTCAAGGTCACCATCCTTGGCTAGGGATCGTGTTCCAGGCCAGCCT